ATGCATGTAGTAAAAAACGGTTATTTCAATATTACAAACAGACACTCCAATTTTATTTTATTTATATCTATAGATTATCAGGGTAAATATGTCGATTATAAAACTTTTTAAATATTTGTGAGATCACAGTCATTGTCTTAATTGCTTTAAACATATCATTTTGTATTTATATATACGTTTCCATCATAAGAAAGAATTTATTATATTATATTATACAAGACAGGCAATTATTTTTTCAATTATTTTTAATAGATTTTAATTTAAAATTTTTAATTACAGACTTTATGCGTGATAATATATTCAAATATTATTCTTTGGTTTTGTTGAATAAATCATCTGCCTCTTCAAGAAGGCAAATTTGTAATAAATGTAATAAACAAATTTCTTCTTATACATTATACCTACTTATGGATAATCTGTCTAAATAAAGTATTGTAGCTTTTTCGAAAATTATAGATATAATACTGTAATATGTACTTGTGAAGGATGGAGCCCAAGACGTCGAGCAAAAGAAAAGCCACCGGTATGGTCGTAGAATATTGTGTAATGACTTATGTCATATAAAAACAATATAATATTTATAAAAAATATATACAATAAGAAAGGTTTATAAAACAGTTTCCAACAATACTACAAATAGATTCCTTTTATTCGAAAGAAGAAAGTATTTCTAGAAATTCTCTACAGTAATGAGAGATAATAAATACCCGGAGTGCTGCGAACGAAGCCGCGGTAAAAACTAAGTAACGCAAACAAGTTGACAGACCGATAGATAAATATCTTGTTATTTTTCCATCATTTGCGTTGCACTGGTATTTGAATCATGTGACCACGGTAAGTGCAACTTAGTAGAGTAGGTAAATACCATAAAATTATACATGTGAAAACTCGGTTATCAATATAAATAATGACGACCTCGGTGGTCTAGCGGTCTAGCACACCGCTTTACGTCCGATGGTCGGGTTCGATTCCTCGCACGGCACAAACATTTGTATTCATGAGTATGATTGTTTGTATCGGTCTGGGTATTTTCTATGTATAATATGTATGTGTTTACAAAAAAAAATATCTATGTATTTGTATCAGTTATCTAGTGCCCATAATACAAGCTTTAGTTAGCTTAACTTGGGTCTAGATGGCGCTGTGTGAATTGTCCTGAGATTATTATTATTATTATTATAAAAAAAATGTTTAAAAACACTATTTAAAGATTCCTTTTAATCGAATGAAGAAAATATTTCTAGAAAGTCTACAGTAATGGGAGATAGAGAGAGGGAAGTAGAGGGAGTGCTGCGAATGAAGCCGCGATAAAAACTAAGTATCTGCCAGACTACCTAAGTTGTCAAACTGCTACATAAATATCCTGTTATTTTGCCAACAATTTGCGTTTCACTGGTATTTGAATTAAATTATATACGAGTAATATAGTTGGAACTTGGAATTAATGAATCTCGATTAACATGCAAAACTTGTTTACGCTCTGTTTGATTTGTTTTTGTTAATTAAATGAGCAAGTGATTAATTATTATTAATAACAAAGTTCTCCATTTCATGACAAGTTTGTTCATATGTCTATAACGTAATTATAATCCTACTATTATTATTATATGTTTGTGATAACTGAAAGGAACTATGTTTGTTATTCTCTCGTATAGAAATTTGTGGGAAAGACTACGGCGGAAGTCAGAAGGAAGTAAGAACGAATAGAATAGAATAGAAATAATCTTTAATCAAATAAACTTAATATCAGCCCTTTTGAATAGTCTGATTCCATCACTTATACGGAGGGCAGACACATCACAAAAGGAATGAGAAACTTCGTGTTGCTGTTCATTTACGTTGGCAGAGCACTAGTTATTTTTTATGTTTGATAATGGAATGGTGCTCCCGCCTGCGCTAACGGTTTACGCTGGCGGGGCACAGGAGGTCAGGTCAGTTAGCTCATCGTGACAAATTCACCAGGAATTTGTCACGATGATTACCAGGGGGAACTGCGTGGAGGTCAACCTGACGGCAAATGCTGTAAAATTACAAAAAATACAAAAATGTAAGTAACAATTACTTAAGCTATGATAGTAAAGAAATATGGGACAAGCTGTCGTGGGACAGCTTGTCCCATATTTCTTTCTCTCGTGTCTCATGATGGGGCAGTCTATTTCCTAAGTGAGCATATTGGGAAACTGTGTTTTGTATTTTTTGTAATTTTACAGCATTTGCCTTCAGGACACTTTTGGATTTGCCTGCACTTCCCTAATACGAACGTTAGGGGGGAAGGAGATTGTAAGTGATGTAGACTGTTGACCCTATTGCTAGCAATGTACCATATCAGGTATAAACAAAATGGACTAACTATTTATTATTTAAACAACAAGGCAAACTGATAAATGGTTCTCACCCCGTTACGGTTGAAGATATCTTATTAATATTATAAACGCGAAAGTTTGTGAATATGGATGGATGTTTGTTACTCTTTCACGCAAAAACTACTGAACGGATTTTGATGAAACTTTACAGTAATATAGCTTATACATCAGAATAACATATAGGCTATAATTTTTACGCGGCTGAAACCGCAGGCACAGCTAGTAATATATATAATGGTCGACTATTAGGATCGCCCAGTGGTCGAAAATCAACCATAATTAATTTAAATTGAAATTAGTTTAACTATGAACATTATTTAGGTTCTATATGGTTATATTTCAAATTCATTAAGACTATAGACAAATAATATTAAAGACAAACAATATTAATCTATTCTCAATTTGACCACAGACTTTAACAATAAACTAAAGAGTGTATATTTGTGTGTGTTAAATACATGGTATTGGGTGTAATGTTTATTTTTATTGATTTAATGTATTCTTAATAATAATCATCTCAGGACAATTCACACAGCGCCATTTAGACCCAAGTTAAGCTAGCTAAAGCTTGTGTTATGGGTACTAGATAACTGATACATGTACAATTGTACATAGATATTTTTTTTGTAAATACATACATATTATACATAGAAAACACCCAGACCGATACAAACAATCATACTCATGAATACAAATGTTTGTGTCGTGCAAGGAATCGAACTCGCGACCATCGATCGTAAAACGGTGTGCTAGACCGCTAGACCACCGAGGTCGTAATTTCTTCTTACTGTTCTTAATGAATAATTTTAGTAAATATTACATTATGCACTCCTTCTCTAAATGTAGAAACTATAATTATACGAAGTTTCATACTCCTCGGCCCGTGCAAGTTTTGTAAAAAAGAGTACAAAATGTTGCTTCACGTATAAATATGTAAAGAAGATAAAGATACATATGTTATGTATTAAAAATGTATCATGACACATCCTCACTCGTTTATATACCTTCAATACTGTAAAGGTTCGAGCACGCCCCCTGGGAGGCCCGAGGGGTCATACTCTATAAATAAAAGTACCAAACTTATTAGGTACCAACCGACCCTTGAGACATATATTAATGGAAAAGGATATATTATGAAATCCCACTAACATTATACACGAACGATTTTGTGAGGATATTTGAAATATAATATTTGTTATTTTTTTATACATTTAGAATGGTAAAAAACTGATCCACCTGATGAAATGCGATAACCGTCGGCTATATACATGAACAACACTACGGACATCACGTTATCATGCGATACTTGTAATTATTATTATTATTTTTTAAACTTAAACAAAATCTCATCTCACCTCTTAAAGAGAGGAGATGGCAACTTATTATTATTATTATTTATTTATTTCAGGCAATTAGGCCCATATCATAAATAACTTATAGACTAACGTATATATGAAATAATTTTTTAAAAACTAATATATTGATCTTGTCTGTGTGGTCACGGTAACGCTGATACACCACACCCTTCGGCCAGTAGTCCGGTCCTCTTTCATGAAGGCAGTAATACCACTCATCACGTTCTAGAGGACTACAATGTCATGCCTCGTAATCTGGTATTAATAAATAAATAACCCTGGATAGTTAACACAGCGCCATCTAGTTCCAAGCTAAGCAGAACTTGGATATTTTTGTGATGTAAATAATAGTGATATAAATACTTAGATATTTTTTTTGTAAATACATATATAATATATATCGAAAACATCGAGGCTGATACAAAAAACCATACTCATGAATACAAATGTTCGTACCATGCGAGGAATCGAACCCGCGGCCATGGGAAGTAAAACGATATGCGCGGTATGCTGTATGGAGTTCGACCTGGTGCATTACTAACAATGGGAACACTAAACCCCATTACTAAAAATCCCCTTCCCCCCACGAATGACTGGTATTATGAGTGTCACATGATAGTGTGATATTCGCAGTTCTTCATATATACAGGTGTCCCAGAACTCAACTCAGAAACGGAGTGAATTTTGAACATTTTAAATTCATAGTTAAACAAGTAGTCTTAATTCTAGAAAACTTGGGGCAATTATGTCATTATTATTGGCTGTAGTTCTAGAAATATTATTTAGGGTTACGGTTCTAAAGTTTAAATGAACAAAAATAATAAAAATTAACCACAATAACAGAAAAATAGTTACAGTTTCACCAAATTGACCAAATTTCTAGTTTTTTGTTAAATGCTTAGGTTGGATAGATTTTTTCCGATTTTTCTCATGATGGTTACAATCAATCCTGTCAATCCGTTTCGATTTGACAAGTTCTGGGACACCCTGTATGTAATTGACGAATTCGGTGGTCTAGCGGTTTAGCACACCGCCTTACTACCGATTGTCGCTGGTTCGATTCCTCGCACGTTTGTATTCATGAGTATAATAGTTTGTATCGGTCTGGGTGTTTTCTATGTATAATATGTATATACGAAAAAAAATATCTATGTATTAGTATCAGCTGTAGAGTACCCAAAACACAAGCTTTACCTAGCTTAACATGGATCTAGATGGCGCTGTGTGAATTGTCCTGAGATTATTATTATTATTTATGAGCTCTCGATATTCCAATTTGCAGGTGCTCACTGGTGCCGCGTTCCACCACAAGATCTGGTCCTGGTACTACACGTACAAGATGCCCCCGGAGATCCGGCTCTGGGTGGACGAAAACTTCAACTGCGAGGATATAGCCATGAACTTCCTCGTTGCTAACGTCACTAGGAAACCGCCAATTAAGGTATGTTATTTTTACCTCTTAATAACTGCCTTTTATTTTAATTTTTTTATTGGGTTATTTGGGCTATTGTCAGGTGCTTGGACCTTGGGCTTGTAGCACTGCGACCTACATAGATCTATTGTGCTCGCCCTTTTTCAATCGCTACCTAGACCCGTCAGGGACAAGAATTGAAGGATATTTTGTAGGACTGATAGTTTTTATCTCCTCAGGAAAGAGTGTAAACTTTCCAAAGCAGATATTACGTTTATGCGTGAGTGGGCTACAACCACATAGGATGTGTAGTGGCATTTCTTCTTCAGTTTGGCAGAATCGCCAGATTTTTGTTGTACTGCCTTTACATGACACATTCTTTGCCATTTCCATTTCCATGGAAGCCAGCGCGTATAATCATCACTTCCTTTTGAAAGAATATTTTTTATTTCACAAATTTTATTTTCCAGACACAAGAAGATAAGATTTATAAATTATCAATAACTTTATAATTATGTTTTTGCTCCATAGTCACATGCCTGACTATGTATTAATTATTAAAAAAAGCGCTAAAGTTCGTACGATTGAAGACCAAGAAATGCGTGTGCAGGTGGCGCGCGCGGTTTTCCTCACTCTCTTTGTCTACATTTATATGAACACTCTTTCCTGCGTGAAATCCTATTCGCACGTGAAAGAGCGTACGTGTAAAGGCTGATCAGTTTCTATTCAGTTTGTTTATTTTGCGAGGAATGTAGTGTGCACAATGGTTATAAAATAATATGAACTAGTTTGTATCGGCGTTACTGTTACCATCCACTGAGACCGTATATTTATAAGTCACCAATAACTTTCCAGGTGACACCCCGAAAGAAATTCAAATGCCCCGAATGTACAAACACGGAGATGCTATCAGCGGATGCGCGCCACATGTCTCAGCGTTCAGCATGCGTGGATCGGTTCGCTGCCATCTACGGACAGATGGCGCTACAAGCGGTCGAGTTCCGAGCAGACCCGCTGCAGTATCGGGAACCGCCGTCCGGAGTGCCGCATCTCTATCCCGAGATTGGTGCGCTGTAAGGTAAGGATGGGTATAGACGCCACGAGTATATCGTATGTGAAAGTTAAGGGAACCGCTATCCGGCGTGCCGCATCACTATCCTGAGATCGCTGCGCTGTAAGGCAAATATATCCCTGGATGGATATAGATGCCGCGATTATATCGTATGTGAAAGTTAAGGGAATCGCCGTCCTGAGTGCCGCATCTCTATTCTGAGATTGGCGCGCTGTAAGGCAAGGATATCCCTGGATGGATGTAGATGCCTCGATTTTATCATATGTGAATGTTAAGGAAACCGTCGATCGGCGTGCCGCATCTCTATCCTAAGATTGGCGCGCTGTAAGGCAAGGATATCCCTGGATGGATATAGATGCCTCGATTTTATCATATATGAATGTTAAGGAAACCGTCGTTCGGCGTGCCACATCTCTATCCTGAGATTGGTGCGCTGTAAGGCAAGGATATCCCTGGATGGATATAGATGCCTCGATTTTATCATATATGAATGTTAAGGAAACCGTCGTTCGGCGTGCCGCATCTCTATCCTGAGATTGGTGCGCTGTAAGGCAAGGATATCCCTGGATAGATATAGATGCCGCGATTATATCATATGTGAAAGTTAAGGAAACCGTCGTCCGGTGTGCCGCAACTCTATCCTGAGATTGGTGCACTGTAGGGTAAGGATAGGTCTCGTTGGATAGAAATGCCGCGATTATATCACATGTTAAAAAAAAACGTGTTTTGTGTATTTGTCTTAAAAATATGTACCTTTAATTAAATGTGAACTAGTGGCCCGCTTGGACTTAGCTCGGGTGCTCGTTTTTCATAATAAATCTGTTCTGGCAATTACAAATGAATTCTTTGTAAATGAATATTTTGTACATTCAATGTATCCGGTTTCTAGTGTATTGTAAATGATAATAAAGGTATACAAAAAATAGGCACACAGAGTTGATACATTCGCGGCATCTACTTGAAATCCATGACTATGGTATTGGCCCTCTTGCATACAGTTTTAAGTTTCGTGTTGAGTATTGTATATTAGTTTAAATAAGGTATTTGGCTACTATTAAATAATACGGTTTCAGAGGAATTTCCTGAAAATGTCGTCAGATAGTTCATTCAACAATAGGAGTGTTAAAGGAACTATCTGGTGAGATGTTTTCTATAGAATACAACAATGTAATTACTAAGTTTTTTAAGAGTCGGTAACGCAAACGTTACCTGATTTTCGGACGTTTATTGGGTACTGTTAGGCTTTATTATCTCATCTCTTTAATCAGTTCATCTGAGTAACCCATATGCCCGTTAGCCACTATTGTGGTAAAAAAAGTGTTCTATAATTCGTTGGCAGTAATTTTTCATTCATTCAAAATATTCTTGATTAAAATCGAAGTGGATATTAAAAGTTGTGTTAAAACCTTTAATTTTCTATAAAACTTCGGTACTAGCCTCATGGCCAGTTTCTATGAATATTTTATCAAATTATAGGTGTAAAACCACTTCAACGATACTGAAGTTTTAAACTGAACTCGGTCAAGTAATTAGTTTGCAAGTTTCATGATGGAAACTTACCTCTATCCGTACTTTAATCACTCAATGAATTTCAATCGAGGAACTCTTTCAAAGAATCGCAATTTAACAGGCTTACAAATTTTAGTTTTTCATTATTGTAAAAAGATATTTTTTTTTTCATTAATATAAAATGATAATTTTCATTATCATTATTACGTATTTAATGATAATATTGAATAAGCATATTCATGAAAAAATCCATGCATATAACTTGACAATTATCTATGTATAGATAGTTTATTTGAGAACATATTTTAAATCATTAAAAAAAATATAACTTATAGTTGTCAAATACCTTATAACTGTATAAATAAAGTTATTTTAATATGAATATCACAGATTTGTAAATTCCATGACAATATTTTTTTTTTTTATTTGTAACATTTTTAATCAATATCAAATTTTAAAATTATGGATTTTGTATTTATAACAATTTAAAATTCAACTAGTTCAGTACTTGACATAAAAACAAATTAAAGTTTGTACAGAAACATCGAAGCTAATGAATAAATAACTGCTGTAATTAAAGGTAGAATGTGATTTGAAATACTATCGCTTGTTTGTAGCCTCAGGGTAATATATAGGTAATTTATAGCAATCAAGTCATTAAGAGGGCGCTTCCAGTAAAACTAGCAACTTTTGTATTAAAATAGAAACGATAAAATATTTTACTTATCTATGAATTGTCGTTTTAATAAAGTGAAAAGGTTAAAATAGTATCGTGTTTAATGATTTGTATAGATCAATGATTCCCAAAGTGGTCTCCGACCATCAGGGGTCTATGACGAAACTGCAAGGGTCTACGACAGCGGTCATCTTGTTGTTTTTACTTTGTTTTTAATACTAAACTTTACTACAGTTAGAAATTTACAAAAAATCAATACCATATAAGAATGGGGGGTCTACCCAAAACAGAAAAATGTGGCAAGGGGTCTACGACACAATAAAGTTTGGGAACCTCTGGTATCTATACCAAATAATTATAGTACGTAATTTTACAAATATTCTAATATTTTTCGTATCTATACGAAAAATACATAGCGTTGTTTACGCTATGCGTTGAGCCAAATATATGTACATAGATTTCTAAAGGGAGCTTTTAAAAATTTATATACAAAGACAGTTGAGTAATATTCATAATAAATAATTCAAATTTTAAATAATTCATCCCAAACAAGCGTTATAATATTGCGATGATTGTTCATTTTTATGTAAAATTATTTTTTTTGACAGGTACTGTAAAAAGTTGACAAACTTAAGGAAGCGTGCTCTTAAAATGAGTTCCACCTCATGGTAATTACGGTAGAAAATCCTTCAAACAAAATAGAAAACATATCCAATATCAGTAAGTAGAAAATTTGTATGCAAATTTTGTTTTCACATCATTATTAGAAAATGTAAAATTTTCATTATTCATTACACATAGTAATGATAATGACAACTTTATATGTCAATAAATTATAGAACAAAATTAGCTAAAATTAGCTACAGACTTGTCTTGCTTTAGAAAAAAGAAATATTTATTTTTGTAAATAAATTAGTACCCTATCATATTGGAAACACATCTAAATAACCTGAATGTGACAGGGTACTAACTATTTACATATCAAACTACACCTATGTACTGCCTGAAAATACTTTGTCATATTTATGATTGCCATAACATTCTTACTTATTGTAAGTATATCTTACTTATGTAAAATGAGATTATCAATGACTAAACGACGAATCCATACAAAAACGCTTTAGTCATAGACCTATTTAGTTATTATAAGCAATGAGTTGTATTAACAACTATAGTGCACGCTTAATTTAAATTACAGTTTTAGGAAAATCGACTATAAAATTTTGATATAAGGTTGAATTTCAAAAATTTGTAATAGTTAAGTTTATGCATTTTGCAGCGTAGATTGTACTTAAAACATGTTGTAAAGAGGGCCTATTGTAAGTAGTAAATATTAGAATGAATAGGAGGTATGGACAATAACGAAAGAAGGCTGTAAGAGAATTATTTGGGATTACGTCCCCACTACCAGGGTATGTAGGGTTAACTTATATTTTCAAATTATATTTAATTTTCAAGTTACCCTCCTTTATTCCTTGGTACTAGAACGGAAATGGTCTTTTCAGAATAACAAACTATTATAGCGTATAACGGAACGGGTATAACGTGTCGAAATTCAAAACTATAATTTTGAATATTTTTTTGTCTAAAGAGCTATAAATATGAATTAATTATTTGTACCTTTCACACTAAATTGATCTCGAGATGCATGGTTTGTATTTTATGAAGTGATTTAGATCTAGAACGCATTAGTTGTATTTTCCTATTGATGACTCTTTAGAAGAAAAATCGTTCAATTTCACGAATGCAGTTGCATAATTTTGGCTCGTATAACCCTTTTTGTTATACGCGAAAAGTATTCGCGATTTTTTTTTTAATTTTAATTTTTCCTTTGTGCCATGTTTCTAAGTCTTATGAAACGCGAAAACTTTTTACTCACATACCTCAATATTAATAGCATGACAAAGTATGCTGCCTGCGAAGATAGTAAATACCTTGTTTTGAACTAATAATTTATGTTGTGAGCTTACGAAATGCCTTTTTTATATATTTTAGATTTAACAGAGTCAATTTTATACATCATTTACTTTAATTTAATATTATTTATATTATAAACGAGCTTCTACATTGTTTAAGAGTTTTAATGATAGCTGTGTTCACATTATCATTAAATTATTATTTTTGTTGCTATGCTATTTATATAGATATACCACTATCTTTTATACAGAGAATAATAATACATTTATAGTTGGATGGCATTAATAAAATTGTCATATTCATTATAGTCAAGCAACGAAATTGTCGTCGTCTTTTGTTTCTGGAAAATAATATGTTTTGTAATATAGCAAAGAACGGTAGGTCAGTATCTGACAACAAATGTTTTCAGGATAATTACAGAATTTTCTAGATTTTTTTCTTGTAGTTTTAGCTTGATTATACCAATTTTCCAATTCTTTTTTTTATAATAACTTCAACTATAGATGTTTCTGCAATTATGTACAATAAATAGTTTTGTCGTATTCGTATAGCAGGGAGTTGTCTACAATTTACAATAATCTTATTACAATTACACAATCTTCTATACAATTTTTGTATAATCCTGGCTTCTGAACTTACGTCAGCTGTATGACTGAATGATCTTAATTCATTCATAATTCTTTGATTTAATGATTGATGTAAAATTATTACGATGTTAATTGAACTTCACTACTTAAGAGTAATCAGCAACCACAGATAATGTGAACACAGTTGTCTATGAACAAATATTCACTTGAGCTTTTCTTGAAAGTAAATTGTCCCTGACTTCCGGCATTTTGCGCATTAAATATAATTGACATATCTATTCGGAATTGGAATAAATATTGTATTGTAATATATTGC